CAGCCTCATCCTGTGACCTACACCTCCTCTCCACCACCACAGCCTCTCTCACCTGCACTCTCCGTCTCTGCACTTCTGCCCTTGCTCCCCCATTCCACCTGTTCGAGGCCCTGCAGCCAGAGAGGCTCTGCTGTAAGGTAGAACATGCCTCTGCTCTGCTCTGCTCGGGGTAACAGCCTGTGAAATCCACCCACCCCAGCTATCCCCGACCCTCTGCTGAGCAACACTGCCTTCCTGAACAGTCCAGATTCTAGGCACTCACCTCTTCTAGGCCTGGCCCCCTCCTCAACCACCTACCCAATGGGAAAATGAAGCCCTTCATTCACACTCCAGCCCCTGCCTCTGCTGCAGCCTTCTCCACAGCATCTAGAACCATCTACCACCCTGTAGGTCAGGGGTGATAATTTTACTTATTAGTCATCTCCCCAGAATATCACCCACATCCCTCCACAAGGACAGGACTTGGGTCTTGTCATTCCCAGCTGCTGTAATGGCACCTGGCTTACCGCCACACCCAGTAAATTTCTGTCGTGATAGATGCAATGAGTCCTAAATCTATGAATTAGGTTGCTAGCTAAGGATTTCTTCTACTTTCTGTTCAGGTATTTTGTACAGACAGAATTTTTGTGTCACCAGCTAAAGTAACATGATCTTTAAAATTCTTGAGGCCTTTTGGCAGCTCAAAGGGCCCATGATGACATTTTTCCCCCTTAGCCAAAAGATAGTCTTCCTTGTTCTGAAAATGTAAATGAGGTTTCATGCTGTTGAGATTTAAAATAGAATTTAAAAATTCTCATTTCTAAAAAAAAATACCCTGAATGAAGTAGCTTAGCAGAAGGGTCCCAACTCTTACTCTTTATGTGAATTTAAAGGGGATTCTTGCCATTCCAGTGTTTATGGCACAATTTACATTCACTTGCCCTACACCATGGCCCTTAGGCTGGTTCACAGCATAATTTGTTTCATGGCCCCTGAGTGGTTTCCCTCCAACTTGCAGGAATCTTCCTTTCTTCCTCTCTCCCTCCCTCTTTCCTTCTTTCCCTTTTCTTCTTTTTGCAACAGGATCTCACTCTGTTGCTCAGGCAGCATCATTATAGTTCATTTCAGCCTTGAACTCCTGGGCTCAAATGATCCTCCCACCTTAGCCTCTGGTGTAGCTGGGATTACAAGTATGCACCACCACCACCCCGCTAACTTTTCTTCATTTATTGTAGAGACAGAGTCTCACTAAGACAAGTGTATTACTGTATGTATCTTGGCATTCAGTTGATGGGCTGATGATGTTTGAATGTTTTAAATAAAATTAAAACATACTAATCCATTAACGATTATGTATTCCATAAAATCTATTTTATATGCCTTAACTTCAGCAAAAACGACATCTATGTAATCAAGATTTTCACATCAGGGGCTGAATTGTGCCCTCACCATATACATTCATTTGTTGAAGTCCCACTCCTAGCCCCTCAGAAGTGACTGGATTGGGAGATGGAGTCCTTTTTTTTTTTTTTTTTGAGACAGAGTCTCAAGCTGTCACCCTGGGTAGAGTGCCGTGGCTTCACAGCTCACAGCAACC